CAGGCAATTCTCCTGCCTCAGCCTCCTGAGTTGCTGGGATTACAGGCACGCGCCACCATGCCCAGCTAATTTTTTGTATTTTTAGTAGAGACGGGGTTTCACCATGTTGACCAGAATGGTCTCGATCTCTTGACCTCGTGATCCACCCGCCTCAGCCTCCCAAAGTGCTGGGATTACAGGCTTGAGCCACCGCGCCCGGCCTGGACCTTTTGAATACTAATAGTTGCCATTTATTGAGCTATTGCCATATGCGAGATGTTGTGGTAAACATTTTTAGTGCATTATCTCATTTTAATTCTCAGAACAACCTTGCAAGTTAAGCATTGGTACCGCGATTCACAGATGAAACTGAAGGTCAGAAGATTGCGGTAATTTGTCCATTGCCATACAGTTAAGAGCTACAAAAGCCAGGATTTTAATCCCTACAGATTAGATTTGACTCAAAGCTTCTGCCCTGAGTCCTTAACTATCCTCACAAAACCACTTTTTTTTTTTTTTTTTTTGAGATGGAATTTTGCTCTTTCGCCATGGAGTGCGATGGCACTATCTAAGCTCACTGCAACCTCCACCGCCTAGGTTCAAGCAATTCTTCTGCCTGAGCCTCTCGAGTAGCTGGGATTACAGGCACTATCACCTCGCCCAGCTAATTTTTGTACCAGCTAACTTTTGTATTTTTAGTAGAGGCAGGGTTTCACCCTGTTGGCCAGGGTGGTCTCTAACTCTCGACCTCAGGTGATCCACCAGCCTCGGCCTCCCAAAGTGCTGGGATTACAGGCCTGAGCCACTGGGCCCAGCCCAAAGAATCATTTTTGAGGCAGCTATTATTTTCTCCATTCTACAGGTGAGGAGACTAAATGACACAGAAAGTAGCAGAGCCAAAGCAGGTCTTTCGGACTCCAAAATCTCTTCTGCTTTGAAGATAGAAGAAGAGCAAAGGCGAGGAGTGAGAACGTGCCAGAAAGCCCCCGCAGTCAGGCACTGCCCTTTCCTAGGGTACCGCACCGACCCACCCCCAACCTCCACAATTAAGCCCCTTTCAAGAATCTTCTTTTCTCCACCTCTGCCCAGTGTGGCCCCTGAACTGAACAGGAACTACGTGGTTCTTGGGGGATTCCCTAGGAAAGGAACCGCCAGGGCACCACCAGTCCTGGGGCTCCCATTCCCACACATCTGAGCAAGGCCTGTGTATAAGACTGGCAAGTGCTTGAACCAGGAGGCAGCCAAACTGGGCTCACACACAGCCCGCCAGTTTTGTCTACCAACAGCTCCCCTTTTCAAAGCATCTATTCTGGGACAGACATTTCACGAGGAGTTTCCAACATGGCTTAAAATGTAATAGCCCCCACCCCCCAATGATTGGCCCTATTTTACAAAAGAGGAGTCTCTGACTCCTGGGGATGAAGCGACAAGCACAAGGACAGAAAGTTCTCAGGAACTTGGGACTTGAACCCACTGGGGCCCCAGATTCTGCTGTTGCCCGGGAGCAGAGGGAGGAGCTGCCAGGGCAGAGGGAGGTGGGGAGAGAGTACAAGCTCCCAGCAGCGCCGCGCTGACGACAGCAGGTGTTTTTTTTTTTTTTTTTTTTTTTTTTTCCCCCCTGCAGCACTCTTTCAATCAGCAACGTTCCTGGATTTTTTTCCCCCTGCTGAGCGGCATTAAAAGGGTGGGGCCGCTTCCCTGCAGCAGGGGCAGAGGCGGCGGCGGCAGCGGCTGCACCATCATTCGCAGGCAGCCACGGAGACTGAGAGCTGCAGAAAAGGGTGGGGTCGCTTCCCAGGAGAAGAGGCGGCAGCAGCGGCGGCGGCTGCGGCATCCTCGCTGGCAGCAGCGGAGGCAGCAATGCTCGGTCTCCGCTGGGGGTGATGGCCTCCCATCCCTGCTAGGTGGCCGGCTGCAATCGGAGGCCGGCGGGAAGTAGACTCGAGCCCGATCCGCCGACCCTGCGGCCACACCGCCCGGCCCCTCCTCTGCGCCATGGCTTAAGCCTGCAGCCATCTCTCCTCACGTCGCCTCGCTCGGCCGAGGTCTGTGCGCCGCCGCAGCCGCAGGGAGGGGCGCGTCCCAGACACCCTCGCCGGGGACTCGGGGACGCCGCGCTTCTCGCCCTTCAGCGCTGGCAGCAGACTGCGCTCCCGAAGGCGTTTGCAGCCGGTAATCGAGGGACTTTACCGACTCTCTTAGGATCGCTCTCCCTGGGTGCTCGCTGACGGAGGAGGGCGAACTAGCTCCGGCTGATCCGGGGGAGAAAACGGTGGGAATCACATTGGCCCGTAAGAGTAGGAGGCTGAAGGAAGATTAGAGACTTGCTTTAGAACCACAAAAAGAAAGAGGGGACCGGCTTTGCAGCGAGCATCATGGCGTGGCCGTGCATCACAAGGGCCTGCTGCATCGCCCGCTTCTGGAACCAGTTGGACAAGGCGGACATCGCGGTGCCGCTGGTTTTCACCAAGTACTCGGAGGCCACCGAACACCCGGGCGCCCCTCCGCAGCCACCGCCGCCGCCGCAGCCCCAGGCGCAGCCGGCTCTCGGGCCCCCCTTGGCGCGCACGGTTGCCATAGAGACGCAGCCGGCCCAGGGCGAGTTGGATGCAGTTGCCCGGGCAACCGGGCCAGCGCCTGGGCCTAGCGGCGAGCGAGAGCCGGCGGCCGGCCCCAGCAGGAGCGGGCCTGGCCCGGGCCTGGGCTCGGGCTCCACCTCCGGCCCCGCGGACTCGGTGATGCGGCAGGACTATCGGGCCTGGAAGGTGCAGCGGCCCGAGCCCAGCTGCCGGCCGCGCAGCGAGTACCAGCCCTCCGACGCGCCCTTCGAGCGCGAGACCCAGTACCAGAAGGACTTCCGCGCCTGGCCGCTGCCGCGCCGCGGGGACCACCCGTGGATCCCCAAGCCCGTGCAGATCCCCGCGGCCTCCCAGGCGTCGGCGCCCATCCTCGGGGCGCCCAAGCGCCGGCCACAGAGCCAGGAGCGCTGGCCAGTGCAGGCAACTGCTGAGTCCCGGGAGCAGGAGGCGGCCCCCGGCGGAGCGGGTGGCCTGGCGGCCGGAAAGGCGTCCTGGGCGGACGAGCGCGACACGCGCAGGAAGGCCGGGCCCGCCTGGATGGGGCGCCGTGCCGAGGGCCTGGGGCAGGAGCAGACGCCGCTGCCCACGGCCCAGGCCCTGGTCCAGGCCACCGGCCCCGAGGCTGGCAGGGGACGCGCGGCAGCGGACGCCCTCAACCGGCAAATCCGCGAGGAGGTGGCGAGTACCGTGAGCAGCTCCTACAGGTGAGACGCGGCCGCTGCTCGGGCTGGGTAGCCGCCACGCAGACCCTTCCCGCGGGCTGCCCGGGGCCCACGATCCCCAGCACAGGCCTTGCATGAAGCCTGCCTCCGGTCCCAGGCCACACCCTCCCCTCAGCCGCCTCCCAGACCACCTCCCATCAAAGCCTTCTCTTCTGCCCTGTCCTATGCGCAAGCTGTTAGTATTTCCATCTCAGACTGCCTGGCTCTTTCACTTTACCGCTTTAGCCCTTTTCTCCATCCCGCCCACCTCAGTTGCCTGCCTGCCCACAGAGACTGCAATGTCAGCACAGGCTGTGTTTCCGTCCTGCCCCCACCCAGCTCACCTGCTGCGTTAGCCTGGATGCTGCCCTTTGCCATTCTTCTAGAAGAAGAATTCTCTCCAAGTGACCTCTCCCCCTCCTCCCTAGGCCAGTTCACTTGGCCCTTCATTCTTTTCTCCCTCTCTCAGTCTCTGGGCAACACCCAAGCACCACACCTTTTTGTAGATTACCCACAGGATCTTTACAAATCACCCCCCTCCTTCCACCACTGGGAGTTTGAAGTCATTGTCCTTCTATCTCTTACTAGCTGTGACATATTGGGCACGTTTCGTAACCTTTCTGGGCCTCAGTTTCTTATCTGTAAGATGTGATTGGTAATAGACATCTCTTAGGATTGTTCATGCTTTTATTGATTTAATATTAAATATTGATTTTATTTTTATTTAATTATTATCAAATATTCAACATATTTTAAAATGCCTACTATATGCCAAGCACTGTGCTGGACATTGCGAGGATTAAATGAGATGATTCAGGAGAACAGCTGGTGCCTAGGACATAGCGGTAATTAGTACGTCTTGGTTCCATTCCTACCTTCTACATGATGCCTTATTATTCTGATCCTTCTTTCTAGATGCCTCCAGCCTTCTCTGCTATTGAGGTATCTTCTTTCTCTCTCCTTTCCTTACGTGTTCTCCAGATGTCTCTCATTCTCTTGCCACCAAGAACCCCTTTCTCCAGCACACTTAATTCCTCGCAAATGAATGCTTTCAAGCATGAAAATCTCTCTCTTTCCTTCTAGAATTTCCCTCTGCTGCAGCCTCAGCCATTCCAGTCTGCTTTCTTGCTTTTCATCCAGCCAGTATATACTTCTGAAGTCTTAGCTTTCAATCCTGCCCTTATGTTCCAACCAACATCAATTGGCTAACAACGCAGTTGATTCTGAACATGTAACATTGCATTTGGGGTCTCTCCAGGAAGATGTGTATGAATGGTAATTGAGCTAGAGGTATTCAAAATGCAGCTTATGGGGTCCTTTATCAATGCCACAGCTTCCTGCTGCCTCCTTCCTGCACAAGGGTGCGGTGGGGAGGACTAGAGAGTTAGTCCTTTGCCAAGACTCTATATCTAGTCTCAAGTTAGACTAATGTCCTTCTCCAGTGAACATCACCAACACTCTCTCATAGGCTGAGGAAAGACTACCATCTTCAGACATCTTTCGTGTGAAGAGAAAATCTGTCCCCCAGCTTCTACCCCTGCGTTTCTCATCTTCCTGAATTCCACCTCCCTCGGCACCTCTCTCTTGGTTTATTGCTATCACAACAACCACACTGGTACCCCAGAAGTACAGCACTTCCTTTGAGCTCTTGGTCAAGCAAGGACATAAATCCTTTTCCTTGGTTAGCCACGAGAAGGTAGAATGTTCACTATGTTTTTACGCTGCTACCAAGTGGGGAGCAAAACAAAAGAAGAGAAACAAGCAAGCAAGTTACATAAAAAACAAAGCCAGGATGTAGTTTTCTGGTTCTGCTATGGCTTTGATCTTCCTACCCTGAGAAACCCAAGTCTGGCCCAACATCATAGACTACTGGCCTGGCCTCTTCATCTTCCCAGTCTCATTTTAGCACCCTGTGGCAGGTGGAACCTTACTACCCCCTGGCAGGAGCTATCTCTTCTCACTACCATACAGTCAATGCCAATCAAGAGAGATTCCAGCTTCTTCAGCCTCCTCGGGTGATTCTGCTCAGTTTTGATTCCAAGTTGGCAGGACTTGCTTTGTTTATGGATGAGTGGCCTGTCAGTCAAGGAATGACCACATCCTTCAGATATAATACACCTCAGATTTGGGGTTGTACCTTGTTCTATATAGCCTTTTTCCTCAAAAAAACAGCTTAACTGTGCAGTAAGCATGGCATGCTTCACATGCCATGCTTCAAATTACACACGGACTGGAAATGACTGGATTTGGTGGGGAATAGCTATGCCCTCACAACTGGTGAGAATGATTATTTTTTTTAACACCTATCAATTCTATCAATCGGTCAAAAAAAAAAAAAAAACTTTGAACACCTCGAAAAAAATTTAAATTTAGATCTGTAAAATTTAATTATACTCATGACTTTGGGGGGCCACCATTACCATTTTGCTAGATAATCAGAAGGGTTTTGAAATGTTATGGGAATGAATATTGCTAAGAAACATCAATTTATTTAATGAACAATTTAAGTGCATGACAAATTTGATGTGAAATTTAACATTTTTTGTTCCAAAGGAAAAATTAACAAAAAATTGAGATATACACTTTGGCTTAAAGTAGTTATAAAGAAATATCAATACATTAAATACATTGTAGAGATGGTTGGCAATTATAAGCTTATCTAGAACATTGATTTTCCCTCCCTATTGTCTCACATTCTTTTCCTTGCTATCATTCTAGGATATCTTTTGAATTTAAGTATGTTCCATATCCACTGTAGACGGACCTTATGCCGCCTTAGGAGCTAAGTTGTGCGCCACTTCAATGATAATTTGATTTACAAACCCTTTTCTTCTGCCATTCTACATAAATTATGGTGTGCTTACACCATGGTGACTGGTTCATCTCATGGACTTTACAAATGACATCTGTCACATGACATCAATGTGAACAGTCTGCTTAAACAGAAAGGACACACAGTCCATCATGTAAAATAAACATTCAACATTCAGAATCATATACATGCTCATTGTTTTACTTTATAATTTACAGTCATAAATAACATTAGATGTCCTTTGACATTATGGTTTTGAGAACCCTTCCCTATCCAACATCTTATCTAATACCCAATCCATTCATACTAGCCTGAGATTTTTGCATTCAAGTAGTATCTGAGATAGCTTTAGGATTATTCACAAACATGAGTTTGATTAATTTTTAACACTTTCATTTTACATAGATGATATAAAATTGAGAAGCATGTATTTATTACCATTTTTAATGTTAAGGTTGGATTTCACTGGGAAGCCATTTGTGACTTTAGACCTGATGTTCTCAATTAGAAAATAGATGAGTCATAAGGAGGGGATTAAAATTCCTTTCCCAGTCAACGCTATTGCTCTGGCCATCAGATAATAGGGATAGATAGGGTAGCAGCTGCTCCCTATAGAAATGCTAATGAGAAACTTTTCCTAGAAAAAACCAGCTGAGGCACCAGGAGGTAGAATTAATAAACCAGGGTGAAATACTTGAAAAATGAGAGCAGTGACAAGGAAGTTAGAAAGAAAAGGAGCCTTCAATGTCTGCCCTCCAGCCTTGCATGAAGGTAACAGGAAGGCCCATCTGACGTAGTTTATGCTGTGCAGAGCTGTCGCATTCCCCAACTGTCCATTTCCCTAATCTCCTCATGGGTCAATCCCAGCAATGCCTCAAAGTCAATCTTGGTTACTGAATCTACAGCAATGCCTTCCTAGATCCAGCCATTCTGAATTAATTTTTCTTCTATTCCCTTTTTAGTTTTTGAACTCTTATCATTGTCTGCTTGATTGTAAAATACTTTTATCCATATCAGTCTCTCCCAGCAGGTCGTGAACACCTAAAGAGAAGGACCTCTCACACCCTACGTGCCATATAGATTTGTTGACTCTAATGGAATTTTTAGGGCTTGGTGAAAATTTTATTTATTTACATATTGATAGAGTCAATTTTATTTAGTTGAATTTTTTTTCAGAAAATGATCACCAAGTACCATGTACCAGATAAGGAGGTGGGGATACCAAATAAATGAGTCATAATTTTAATGTAAGAAAATTGTGTCTTCCTCAGTCAAGTTAAAGTCCAAATCTTACCAGGTTAGCACTAGAAGCAAATGTTCAAATGGAGAAGGGCAGCAAACTTTATATACCTGACTCTACATCAACCACCAGCCAGGGCAGTGGTCCTCAACCTTGGCTGCACATTGGAATCAGTGGAGAACTTTCAAAAGGCTGATGCATAGGTGCCTTGCCCAGAAAATCTGATTTCATCGGTCTGGGGTGTAGCCTGGACAACCAACTTTTTAAAAACTATCTCAGGTGATTCTAATGTGCAACTCATGTTATGGTCTACTTTTATAAGTCATGGTTCTCAAAATTTAATACACAAAAGAATCGCCTGGAGAGTTTTCCAAAATGCAGATTCTTGGGCCATATCCTCATACATATTAATTCAATGGGCTTAAAATGGAGCCCAGGTATCTAATTTTTAGCAAGCACTCTAGATAATTTTGATGCAGATGAATGCAGGCTTTACTTGGGAAAAAAATTACCTGGAGAAATTTATCATCTTTAAGCTATTGAGTTTTCCTATATGCAAACATGGCAAAGCTTGCCATTCATTTAAATCTTTTATGTTCTTCACTTATATATTGTAATTTTCTTCACAAAATTACATACACACATATACTCATATATATACACATGAATACAGTTTTAAAGTTTTATTTCTGTATTTCAATTGTTGATAATCCAACTAGATTTTGTCTTTATAAATGGAGTGAGATAGGGATTGAATTTTTCCCTATATGGAAAGTCATTCATCCCAACACTCTTTTTTAAAGCTTTACTTTTCCCCAATAACTTACGATATCTCCTCTATCACATAAGAGTCACATATCTTTAGATATTATTTCTGGATTCTCTGTTTTATTCCGTCAGTCTGAGTTAGCACCACATTATCTTACTTTATTTTATTCTGAGCTATCTTTT